GATTTTGATGATGATTCAATGATTAATTAACTGTTATAGTAAATTATCTCTCTGTTTGTCTGTAATGCAAAAAGTTATGAAGGGATTTTGATAATAATACTCAGGAAAGGTCAAAAATGGACTTGGTTTAATTAATCAATTAGTTTACTAATTGATAGATAATTTATACTAATGAGGAATTGAGCTGCCTTGGCAAAGGTTTACACTCTGAGTGCTCTTCCTCGGTTATAATTGAACTTTTAGGCCATGCAGGCTGACTGCAGTCAGACTTCATACTATATGATCAGTATGAAGCATCTATGAAAAATTTATGACTATTCTCAATTGAGACTTGAGTCTGTTATCAATTAAGCTGGTATCATAGTATGTCCTGGATCAGCATACATCAAATAGCTTATTCAACATTTAAGGAAACCTGCAAGGGAAATTATTGTGAAACTTGTAAGTCTCTTGGGATAATATTGAGAATTTGCCATTAAATTACAGCAATTAACGCCTTCATCAATTCAACACTTCACGTGTATCCTGAACTTGTCATGAAAATTTATGAAGACTTAGTAAAATATCTTGTCCACTAACAATAAGACCAATAAACCAACTACTAAGACATAATATCTCCTTTGGTGGGGCAGTTTAGTTCCAAAGTAGGTATCACTGTTTATATAATATTATATGTTCCAAAGTAGGTATCACTGTATATATGTTGTAAATTTCACTGATGTGCCTTGTTACAGCTGCGAGTTTATAATAATCTTTGATTCCTTTCAAAGATGACCTATCTGTCACATCTAATAGATAGCCAGGTGTCACCTTAGTTCAGACTCTAAACTAGTCAATCAAGATCTGTTGTTTCCTATCTGTTATCTATGGTCCATTTAATAGGTGACACTTCTCAGGTCTAATTGTTTGTCAGGTGTCACCCACCTAGCTAGGTCAAGACTCTCCTGACATGAGTAAGATCTACACAGATAATGTATTGATAAGCATCTGTTTACAGCAAGTCACCACCATAACGACTGTCCGATGTCAGGGTGTCACATAGGTGTCATCAAGTGTCACCTTAATTTTAAAGCTACCAGAGGGTGCTCCTTGATTGCAATCAGCGACATGAGGTGGCACCCCAAACTTTAATGTTACCTGGCTTAATTAAAGACAAGAAAAGTAACTGATGAGGCAGCCTAGGAAGGGGGGAGTCCTTAAGTGAAAGGCATTTCCTATGGAGTTTGTAATATGTCCAATAGGAAATTGGACCAAAATCCTATTGAGTACTATAAGACAAACATGCATTACCAAGATGTATATCCCATTGGATGTGTCATTCTGTTAAGCTGATTGCACTTAGCAAGAGTCCCCGCAGAGTTGGGTCGATCCGTATAGACCGATGTTGCCTATGGGAATGGGGTCTTAGGCATAACACTTGAAATGCAATGTAATTCAGAATAATCAAATTTAAAATACTGCGTTAATGAAATGAAATGTGGTAGTACAGCCAGAAGCGCTGAATTTCTCTTGGTAATGGCTCAATAATTAATGTGAGACAATTTGACCAAAAATAATTGCCTAATTTACCAAAGTGTTTATATAAGTGTAAATAAAATGAGATGTGACAAAAAGATATCAACATCAAGTTCTTGGTCAGTTGAGTTAAAATTAATACTCAGAATATAGTAAAAAAAATCACTGGATTTTCTTTTCACCTTTATGAAATATATATAAATGTAGAGACATAGCAAATATAATAAAATAGAATAAAATAATAACAATCTAAATCTTTATGAACTATTTCACAATGAACATCTTATAAAATATCTCAGAGTGCATGGCATTTATTGAATTCATAGCCAATATGTGCAATAGAACTGAGTATAATAATCCTTAATTTTATGTGACAGAGTGAAGATGCTCAGCTGTTAGCAACAGATGTTTATTTATCTAATGTGTAGCCTGAAGAGACACCAGTGCTTCTGACTCCCAACAATTCACATGTCAACATTCTTGTCTAATTAATTCAGGTGAGTGGTTCTCATGATGTCCAATGTCCATGTAAAGACGCCAATGTGTTTCTTGTTTTCTTCTGGGGGCATGATTTTCACTACTAGTAATTAGATTTTAGAAATTCTGAGAATGCGTGTGTGTGTGTGTGTGTGTGTGTGTGTGTGTGTGTGTGTGTGTGTGTAAGGATGTATGTGTGTACCTAAATATAATGGACCTGTTACAAGCCTGTAGCCAGCATTTGAAAAATAGAAAAAGGTGGTACTTTTTTTTATGAAAAAGTGGACCTTTGTCAACCTATAATGCCAGAATGGCCTAGAACCTAGATCGTATAATTATAATCAACAATCTGACCATCAATCTTTTTACCACTGTTCACTTATGACCAACATGGTTGGATATCTTAATTAATCAGACTGATGCCAGTGTAAGTCATCACTCGTTGAACACTGGGCTATTTTTTACTTCAGAGTAGATCATTTCGGACCAAGAGCATTTCTTTTAACCCCTGCCCCCCCCCCCAAAAAAAAAGACCTTGCCTTTAGACCTGTGTTAAGATGTTATTTTTATTTAATTTCCATTTCTATCAGTAATTTGCAGTGTTTTGATTTCTTTTCATATCATTCCATTCTTTATTAATTACCTTATCTTAAAAATAATTGAATCTCAAATTAACAACCTGGTAAGTGGATGATGAAAAACACACCAGTTTAACAGAAACATGTGCCAAAAGGTGAATAATGTCTTCATCATTTGATAGTCCTCTTTTCTAATATCAAATCTTTCATTATGACTGCCTGCGTAACAAAGATAATAAAAAAGTATTACCAGGCCATTTTAATTTATGTCTCATTAACTTAAATGAAATTTTATTACTTGGTATTTATTTTCATAGTTTTTCAATCAAAATCTTCCAAAAAATAAGTTGCATGTCAAATATGATTAAAGACATTATTATTACTTTTCCATCTTTGCACGTTTCTCATTTCTCTACTGGAATTATCTTGCCTCCTGAACACTGTTGCCTGCTTAGCACGTGTAATGTGCATCACATGACCAGGGGCGGATTGAGGCCGTCTTCTGGGTCTTCCGTAAGACGCTCAGATTTTCAAGTTTACAAGTTTTAAAATGTGCCTTTATATTGTACCAAAGCTAAGGTGCTTAACTAGTCATTATTGTTTTTAAAATTTAGTGAGACTCATAAATGATAATTGCCATAAGTCATTTCAGCCGTCAGAACTCCCTAGAGCCCGAATAATATATTTTCCATTAGCCATTAACATTAACTCAGCACTCCTTGAGGCACAAAATGGCAGATATTGATAAAAAGCAACCTACTTAAAAGAAGACAGTTTACACCACTCCAGTCATTATCAGATTCAGATAAAAAAAATTTCTTTTGCACTGTAAGTCACTGTGAAAATGTCCTGGTGTGAGCCAAGATTGTACCAGGGCTGAATCAGGTTTTTCCAAATGTAAACTAGCCTTAATTGTTATTGAAAACTACACAACCATGGTAAACTGAATTTGCTATGCTGTATCCTACTGAAACACTATTTGCTCTCAAAGTCATGAGTTTGAAAAAGACAATGGATCGCTTTCAATCCAAATATTAGATACCAGACGACTTTGAATGTAAGCTAATACATGCCAGGCCATAAGTTAACATAATAGTTATGTTCACCTTCCAGCTGAAAAACTGACAAACTTAAAACTGCAGTCAAATCGATAACAAAATGTTAACTAAATGGCACATCTGTTGGTACACCGTATAATCCCATCAATTCCTTATCAAAAACATCTTCGACAATTTTCCAAATATTGCAAAATAAATGCAGAAGACAAGCCTTAGATTTGCTTCCGTTTTCACTGTAATATCTGTGTATCCCTTTAAGAACAGCAACCACACGAAATTGTTATTTTTACCTCTTTAGAAAGACAAATAAATGGATCGCGTGTTTAACAGGACACAAAAAAATCGTCATGGACAAAAAAAGCATCGATTTACTAAAAAATTGTTTTCATCACCTCAATTTCCATTCCCAGGTAAGTCAAATAACATAATCCCCAGACATTAACATTGTACATTTCCCCCATTTCCTACTAATTTGTGAAATATAAGATAACCTCACGGCTTCCAATTTCCTTATATCTCTTATGAGATGATACAAGTAAAACACCCCATTTCCATAGATTTTTAGATCGATCTATCCCTGTGGGGAGTCTCACTAGATTACTGTCAGCTTGGCCGGCTTAAGCGTCTGTCCTGCCTACTAAAAGCTGTAAGGGGGTAATTAACTATGGTGCCCGCTTGGCTGACTGCAATTTAGCGTGAACCCCCAGGGAGTTAGGTTGATCTAAAACTTAATCTTTAGATCGATCTAAATCTCTGGGAAAGCACCCATATACTCTAGCAACGCACACTATTGAATTCAAACTTACCTTCAATTGAACTTGAAGTGTATATGAAAATGCATGCAGGGGTGTGTGCATATATGTATGTATGTGTGTGTGTATGTACGTGTGTATGTGTGTGGAATTGTATATGTTTGTGTGCATGTGCACCTGTTTTTTTTTCGTGTGTGTGTGTGTGTGTGTGTGTGTGTGTGTGTGTGTGTGTGTAATTCCAAACCTTAAGCTTTTATGTCAATCACTTATACAAATAAAAGATTTACTAAGAAAAATAACAGAATAAAAAAGGAAGTAAAACTTTTAATCAAAAACCATTGAACCATTGTTTTTATCTGAATTTTATATTTGGTATTTTGTGTCAACTGAAATTTCTGTTACAAGAGGCATTTATAAGGTGTCTTATTTAAATGTGCTGACATGATCACTAGGGTTCTGAAGGTGTATGTCTTTACTAGGTGAAAAATTGCTTTCCTTTTGGGCCCAGGGATTCAATTTGGTGAGAAAATCTTATACAAGATGCAATCTCTTCTGAGTAGAATATTGCTAATGTAAGGCTAATAGGCTAATGAATAAGTAGAAAAATCAAAGTTTCTTACCTGTAGTTTCGTAACGTCAACGGGGCATCACACCTGCAACGACAAGGAACAAATTTATTAACAAAAAACGAAATCAAAAAAATTTCAAAGACTGTGTTATCATCTTTTTAATTTCAAACAACCATTTTTAAGCACTTCATTCATTGTTTTTCACCATTCTGCTGAAAAGAAATTGTAAAAAAATTCTACATTTAAATAGGTAAATATATACATAAAATGTCAAGTGATAACCACAAGTTTCTTCATTTCTTTATCATTTGCCTGAAATTTAAACATGAAAAGGACAAGGATACACTTTTATATGCTCTCAGAGAAGGACACTGATAATAAAGTATAAGTTATGAAATGGAGTCAGTTAATAGGGATGTAATTCAATACACCCCTTCCTAGCTACACACCTAGCTGTCTACCTGTTATCATCTCTGACTTATGTTAGTCATCTCCTCATACATAAACACAGTCCACCAAATACATTTACCTTTATAAGACTAAGATATATAAAATATTTAAAAAATATTAATTTCTTAGAAAAAAAAGCATTATAAGGGTGGTATAAAACTCTATACATGGTTGGTTTACATTCTGGAGAAAGATGAAGAAGAAGAAGAAAGAGAGGAAGAGAGAAAGGGGGGGGACACATAAGAGGGATTGGGAAGTAATTAAAGAGTTGGAGGGTCAAAGGTCCATATCCATATATATATAAACTTTCAAGGCAACAGACTCCTATAAGACCACTACATATATATCCACTTTTTTCCAGTATTAAACTTACATATATATATAAACTTTCAAGGCAACAGACTCCTATAAGACCACTACATATATATCCACTTTTTTCCAGTATTAAACTTACTCTGTGGTTGCACTAACAGACATAGACCTCCTACGCAACCCTTTAATTCTAAAAATATCAAATCCAATGCTGCCCTGCAAGCTGTTGCATCTTTTTCTTCCTATTATTCTATCTAAAACACCAGATGGCAGCAGGGGTGGGCTTGACACTTGGCCATTAGGACTCCACATCTTTTTGGACATGTCTTTTACCGCCAAGTCACCACAATGTTTGGTCAGGTCTTCCCATGTTTGTAGTTATTAGTTACTTTCTGGCAAGAAATTTTTCTGGGAAATTAATTGATTTTTCCTCAATCTTCAAGTCATTCTGTAAGTTGATTTCTGCCAGGTGCTTACTGCATGAAATCCTCTGGTAAATTAACCTTTCTAAAAATCTTCAAGTAATTCCTAAGTTTACTTTTGGCAGGTGCTTGTAGAAATCATGTGGAAAATTAATTGTTTTTTTTTCTCAATCTTTAAGTCATTCTGTAAGTTGATTTCGACTAGGTGCTTACTGCATGAAATCCTCTGGTAAATTAACTTTTCTCAAAATCCTGGTAAATTAACTTTTCTCACAGTCTTCAAGTAACTCCGTAAGTTAATTTTTGGCATGTGCTTTGGTAATTGTCTTTTCCTGAAACTTCTGAATGCATAAAATTTGTAGAAATGTCTCCTAAATTAAAGTTTCACTATTTGCTGTAATGTCCACAATGTTTAATTAAGTNAGTGTCAAGTTAGCTCTGAAGCTCAGGGTGCTGAGAGTGGTCCTATTGCACAAAATGTCCCAATTACCTCATAACTGTGACGTAGAAAGTTTTTTAATCAAGCAAAGTGTCCAAGCAACCTTGCAATTACAAGTCATAAGCGCAAAAATACATATTTAAAAATTATAAATATATATTCCATTCTTTCCTGTCATTATTATCGTTTTATCAATAAAAAAGTGAAAAAACCATGAAAAGAAAAAAAAAGAAACTTATATAAAAATATGATACAATAATCCTTTCTACATGCACTTTGTCTTTACAATACACATAAACTGTAAAATAAAACATTCATATATCAAAATATATTATATCTTTTTCCTATATATCTTATTCGATTTTGAAATCATTTTAATCATTTAGCAGTGATTTTCCAATGCACGGTTTTTCATTGCCAGATTAAACGTTCATTGTTAACAAACCTATATAGCATTGTAAAATTAATATAAACTGTACACTGAAATATTTCGAATTGATTTTTTGTTTTACAAATTAGTGGAGCCATACATCTATCAACCATTAATTAATTAATTAATTTATTTATTTATTTATTTATTTATTTATTTATTCGCAAGCAGTGTTGACAATGTAAATTTGGAGAGATGGGTTTCTCACCCCGACCTACGAGTTGCAGAGACACACGTGACCTTAGCTTCCCTACGTCAGGACTCAACATCGCGAATAATTTTCCAGTGTGTGTGTCTCCAGCGAGTGTCAGTTGAGAGGCGTAGAAGGTGTGGGGTTAAATCATTGGCTACCTTGGGGTTAGCGGTTCCACCACAGCAAACTGCATCACCCCGGCGTCCACTCCTCCCGTGCTTATGACGTAACTGTCGTCAAACAGAAAACCCACTGACGTCACGTTGGACGAATAGTGCTTCTTTTCGTAGTACTCAGGCTGAAATGGTAATGTAGTAAGAGAGTATTTCAAGTTTGACGTGATGAAATGTAGTTGAAATAAGTTTGTTCACATTTTTTGAAAAATATTTTCAGACGGTACTGCTTGAACGGCTATGTATTAAGAGGCTGATACGATCTTGATACAAGTCCGTAGTCAAATTATTCGTTTAACTATCCTTCAGAAGCAAAGAAATCTAAACTCAATTTTCTTTGTGAGAAAGTGCACTCTTTATTAGTCGAAACTTTTCAATTCTAATATATATCGTTCAGGTTCTTAAATATACCGATAAACTTCAAAGTAGAGGCATTTCTGGACAACATACCTTGTGCGCAGCACATGGATATTTGTAGAGCCTAACTGCGCCCTCTGTATCTCCGACAGCTAAATAGTCCCTGTAGTGGGAACGCGCCGTGCAGCTAAGGTCCTCCCCCTCCACGAGGTTAGACCAAGCACCTTAAAGGAAAAGTAGGTGAATTATTTGTGTCAAAATATCTGTAAAAAGTATATTTGACCGATAAGTAGTATCTGTATTGAAGAAATCCTGTGAAAGGCATTGAAACGGTATTTCCATCATTTGTAGATAAAAACGACGACAAAGCTGGTTATTTTGGGTGATGCCAGTGAATTTTGTTCGGAACTTTAAGAATGTTGAAGATGACCAGTTTATTTTTATTTTTTGGACTCTGCAGGTTATCATAACGCCAAATAACCAAATAATTACGAAGCTAATTCCATTTTACAAATAATCTGTATTCATGACCATATGTTTGATAATTTCTAGCGTGTAGATATGAAGACTTAACGCTAACATAACAATTGGCAATTCTTTAGAAGAGATTCTGGTTCGCACCTATGACGTGGTATCCCAGAATGCAGTTGTGCGTGTGCCAGTCTACGTCACGCAGGCTTTTGGCCGGTTTCTCTTGCTGCATAGAATTAACATTCCCTGAAAGGAACATTAACAAGTTAGAAATGGAACGCAAAAATAATAATATATGAGCAATAAGAAATAAAAATAATAATCACATTCACATATGTTGCAAAATTAAAAGAACTTCATATACATTGATAATGTGAAGTCCAAAGAATATGTTAAATGAGTGTCAGCTTGTAAACTATTCAACCATTTCACATTTTGTATATTTTTCCTTGAACCGTGTTTTAAATTTATTAATGTTTTTATTTTCAAGAAACGAGAACGTTTACTCACAGAATAGGGTGTCGCAATCCCCAGAAACGCTCCTCAGGAAACTGCTGTCACGTGACCAGTCGAGATTCAACACGAAATTTTTGTGTCCCTGAATTGAATAAGACATAAATGGTTTTGTTATTGAATAGGTACACTATGTTGTCGCTTACGACAACAAGTTGCGACTACGGTCGTATTACTAGTCATGTTTGTTTTGTTATGCAAATGATTTGCTCAGTATATATACGGCCAGCAGTAGTTCTGGGCGCGGCCACGTTTGTATTTGACGAGCAGAAGGCTCAGGTCGCCAAGTATCAAGATTTTGTGTAGTCACTTCGGCAAAATCTGTGGATCACCATCGGGCGGGAAAAGCCACTTTTCTCTGTACGTATTGTCAATTATTTGCACAATGTATATGTAAAAGCATAAGTCGTTTTGTCTAGCCCAATTTATAGTATTCACAACATTTCCCGTTTCTTATAATTAATTCATTATTTCTTTTTATATTTGTATTCAGTTTATATTATATTTGTGTATTTTTATATTATCAGTTTGGTGTTTATCTTTCATTATTTTGTTATTTTAGTATCATCATGTCCATGTCAGTGTATGTGCGTGAATAAAGGTGTGAACATTTCCCGTTGTCTGTGTTCGTTTGGCATGGGATCCGCAACTCACTATAACATGAATAAACAACGCTGGATGCATGTATTTCATGTAATTCTATGTTTTCAGAAACAGTGATGGCGGTACTGTTTTGTTTCAAAGCCCACACAATTAAATTGAATTCAAAAATGAGCTCGTGAACAAGAAAATGAACGGTGGGTTGATCCGAAGTTCATTTACGTCAGTCTTTAATAAAACATTCACGATACGATACGACCTCAATAAGAGCTGAGTGAGGGGGGTTTACCCCTAACGGTTATCTTACTACTGATGGAAAACCAAAAAGAAAGATGCTGAAAAAATCCTTTCACTGACGTACTGAAATACGAAAAACTGACATAAGTAAGATGATCACATCAAACTTATGTCGATATCAGTCTGCAAAGTTGATGTCACCCGAAAATGTAAGTTAGCTTATTTTATGTCAAATGAAATTACCCTCAGAAAACCCTGGCCGTGTCTCCGGTATGATCGCCTCTTCTCCAGAACATCAAACACGTATATCGTGTTGTCATGGCAACCAATAGCCAGCATGGCACCATCTGAAATACGAAAATACAATAAAGGAGAAACTCGTTTTCATTACATACCGTTCAAATGATATTTCATAACTATTGAGAGAGAGAGAGAGAGAGAGAGAGAGAGAGAGAGCACTCTTGCATCTTTCGTTCAAAGAAATTTTAGATGAGAAACAAAAATTCACATGCACACTAAATAAAAGAAGTAAAACCATTTAGATGAATATAAGTCTTAAAATTGTGTCAGTTTTTTTTTGTGATTTTGTGATTGTACAGTTTTATTTTGTGATTGTACATAAAAATAACAAACAAAACAGGTAAACTTTGTTACCGTATCAACTATATCTACAAACCTGGGGAGTACTGCACGGTCTGTATCTTCTCGTGAGAAGCGTTGAAGGAGGCGAGCTGGCTGCCATTGTTAGCGTTCAGCACGATCACCTGTCCCGTCTCTGTCCCAATAACAACGGTGTGACCCTCAGGGTGATACGCTATGGAAAACAATTATTTTAATGATATATACACCGACACAGGAGGGCGTTAGTGGAAATAAATAAATAAATAAATAAATAGGCATGGCTATACGTAAACATGTAAATCAGATTGTGACAGGCAAAAAGTTGTTAGTGCGTTACTATACTGCATAATGAAGTATGTATTCACATTTAATGAAATCGAACGGAAGAAAAGCTTTTTTTTAGATTAAAATGTCTTAGCGAGTAATTTTTAACTTTTTTAAGCTTTTTATACCAGGAATTTAAAATGAGAAAAGTCATGAGCAACCCAGCTTACACAAAACGTTTTGATGAGATTACAATAACGTCATATATTGATTAGTAACATTGTGATGACGTTACAAATAACGTTCTGGATTAGCTGGGAACATACATGTACATGCACTGTATATTAAAAGAAATAGAACCTGGATACATGTCTAATCTCGATAATACAGTGATTAGCGTGTACGGTTTGAATGCACTAATTGCCACGTCATTGCCCTTTGTGTGTTCAGAGTTTCTTGGAAATTCACTCCTCTGCCATCTACATGCATTTGCAGTTCGCAGTATCAGATCTGTATTCTGACAGGAGAGGGACAAGTTTCCAGGAATCACTTAAATTTGAGGTGCAATGCTTCAAGGTACTCTAGAAGAGGTTTGCCAACCAAAATGAAATTTCCTCGGGGAAAAAAATTCCCCCACACACGAATCAGTGCTCGACCCTACCCTGAACATAAATTCGATGTTTTATTCCATTTTGAATCTAGTGTTTTAATTTTAAATGACTGTCCAGTTATTTAGAACGTTTTCCTGTAGATACTATCGACGTGGGTAGTTTTATTTAAGAGGTTTTATAGTTCTGAATTGGGAAATATTATAGTAGTTTTGCACGATACGTAGACACAGAATGTGTGACTTTGGGGAATTTTAAAACGCGTACAGTGTACCTTTTAGACTAATATGTGTCTCCAGTGGCGCTTCCCTTTAATTCCAAATAGACCTACGGCCCCATAAATGGATGGGTCTTTAAGCCCCCTTTGCACTGGACGGCGTCCTTTCTTTGTCCCGTAGAACGGCCCTGTTTAGTTTGAGAGTTAAAAAATAATACTTAACGTGCCGACAACTGGCCGATCAATGAGCATTCATTCTGCACCTAAAGCGATGCTTGTGCCTCCTTTCTACAACCACAGCAATGCCAGTTTCATGGGCGCGAAATACAAAGGGCGCAGAAAGGACGCCGTCCAGTGTAAAGGGAATTTTAATAAGACCTACCTGAGGCCCAGCAGGCACTGTCCACGTAGACCTTCCACAGCATTTTATGGCTGACCGCTGACCACTTGCAGACCATCATGTCGTGGCCGGCGGTGACGAACGCGTGCTCTGACGGGGATATGGCCGCCGTCCACACCTCTTCCACGTGCCCCTGGTTAATTTATGGCAAATTAGTTAAACTGTGTGAAAAAAC